ATCTAACTCAGGACCTTGTGCTTGCCAGGCAGGCACTTGTGCCACTCAGCTAAATCCCCAGCCCCACACAGACCTCTTCTTGATCTGTACTTACTCTCTGGATCAAGGACCTCCTGTCCCTGGCTTCAGATGTCCTCTCTCAGCTCCAGATTAAATGTGCATACAAACCTGTTCCTGAAGCTCCCTCTTGTGTCCTCCCTGGCCATTTTCCCCATGCATGCCATTTAGCCACCCCAAAGTCACCAGCTCCAAAAGCACACCCCTGACTCCCCCTCCAAAACTAGGTCCTCCCGCAGTCACCCCATCTCAGTAAGCAGCAGCCCCATCCCTTCAGGGGCTCAGGCCTAAAGCCTTAGGATCCTCCTCCGTTCTGTTGTTCCCGTCACACGCCGTGGCCCGCAACAAGCTGCCCGCGAGTCCCAGCTGCTCTGCCTCCAAAATGCCTCCATGGGCTGGGGATTTAGCTCAGTGGCACAGTGCCTGCCTGGCAAGCGCAACGCTGTGAGTTCAATTCCCGGTACCGGGGAAAAAAAAAAAATGCCTCCAGGATCAGACACGCCTCGCGGACCTGTCACCACCCTGGCCCAAGACACAGTCATCTCGCAGCTGCTTTCTGCTCCTCAGCCTTTCCTGGCCCCCCACGGCCTGCTCTCTGCATAACAGACATGGTGATTTTATAAAGTAGAGTCAAAATAGCTCCTGCTTCTGCCTCAAACCCTCCACATCGAGTCCTCAGGGCTTGTGGAGCCAGCCATGGCCCTCCCAGCCACTCCTGCGCCTGCCACTGCGGCCGCCCAGCCTCCTTGTTCTCCCCAAGACACCAGGCATGTTCCCACCCCAGGTCTGACTTGCTGCTCCCTCGGCCTTCCCTGCATTACCATAGGCTTCCTCGGAACACAAGTGTCAGCTGCAACACTTCCTGTCCCCTCTGACACCGCACACACCCCATAACCATCTCCACTCTCTCCTCGTTCGGTCTTCTGTTGCTCCTTAGCCCTTCCCTTTAGAGAGCCCCATACTTAGGTTGATTTATTCGTGGACCACCTCTCTCCTGTGAGGACATCAGGTCCAGGAGAGCAGGGTCTTAGTTCGGGTCACTTATGTATCTCCGGAGCTTAGGACAGTGTCTGGCACATGGCAGGTGCCTAACACATTTTGTAGAACAAGTGAAAGAACAGCATTTCAACAAACTCAAGGATTGCTTCATAAGTTACAGGCTGCAGCCTCGGCCGGTGGGAAGAAACAGGCAAAGAGCTTGGAGTCAGACTGGGAAGCCTCTAATACTAGGCCAAGAAGACCCAACCTTATACTGAGAGTACTGGGGAGACATTGATAGTTTTTGGTTTTCTTTTTCAAGACAGGGTCTCACTGTAGCCCAGGATGGCCTTAAATTTGCTATGTAGCCCAGGCTGGCCTCAAACTAGTGATCCTCCTGCCTCAGCCTCAACACTGAGCAGGAAAGGGGCAAGTTGAAAGCAGTGTTTTTGAGAGACTAGCCCCTTCTGTAGTGTGTGGCGGATGGGTTACAGCAGCGCAGGGCTGGCAGCAGGGAGAGCAGGGAGAGCCGGCAGAGACTATGGCAGAGATGCAGGGTTGGGAGCGGAAGGATTGACCTGCCTTGGTGGTAGGCGGCTCCAAGGTTCTGAACGTGAGCTCAAGGGGGGCGGAAGTAACCTGACCTTCCTGAGGCTCAGCGGTCAGTACCAGGTGAGCTAAGTGATACCAGGGAAAGCAGTGACAGGTTTTGGTCCCTCCACCCTCCTCCTCTGTCCCAGCAGACCCTGGGTCCTCACCTGCAGGCTCAGCGTGGCTCGGTCATACTCGAACAGCCGGATGCCGGGGTTGTTGGCGCCGTTGACCACCCCAACCAACGTGGTTTTCCACGGGGTGACCCCAGGGGCAAGGAACATGACGCTGATGGGTGCTCCTTTCGGGAGAGACGGCAGGAGTGAGAGAGGCCGGTGAGCGAAGGAGGCAGGCGGGTGGCAGCCGACCTCCACGAGTACCTGCGTCGTCGTAGAACATCCGAAAGCTGTCAGTGTGCTGGTGCCCGAAGAACTGCCCTGCTATGACCCTGTGGTGCTTCCGGACCGCCTTCAGGTACTCCTTGTTGAAGCCACTCCGGAACCACGCCTTGTCCCGCGTCTTCTCGAAGAACCCTGGGGGTATGTGGCCAATGATGTAGACCTGCAAAGAGGCGGGGCCCAGGGGACTCAGGTGCCCCCAGTTCAGTCTGGACAAGTGTGCTACAGCCTCCCCACCTCCGTGCCTCCGCCTGCCACCTGGAGAACGGCTCCCCTTCCCTTGGAGAGACCCGACCGCTACCCTGAACCTGGCTCCGCGGTCACCTCCTCCACGAAAGCTCCCGAACCTCCCGAGACCGGCCTCCCTGGACAGCCAGGGCCGTCCGTGCGTTACTGCGCAGCAGGCACCGCGTGGCTGTGTGTGTTCGTGTCTTACACCCCTCAGGGCGCTCAGCCACCATGCTCACGAGCCCCGGCCACGAAACCCTGCTAGGACGTGCTGGGCAGTGCGGGGACCCAGCGTGTGCCGGTCCCTGAGGGGCTGCCCGGTCAGCGGACGGAGGGGCACACCCGAGGCCGGGCATCTCTCACCTTCTCCCCTGCTTGGGACGCGTTGGTCAGAACAGCGTCCAGCCACTGGAACTGCTGGCTGGGGTCGGCTATGTCCGCCGTGAGCCGGTTGTTGCTGTAGTAGAGATTGGTGTTGAGCACCACGATGCGGTGCGCGCTGCTGGCACCCGGCAGCGTCTCCGAATAGAAGGCACCTGGGAGGGGCACAGCCGGGGAGAAGCTGAAGGGGGCTCCGCCCCACCTCACTCTCCCACCTTCTCCTTCCCTGGCATCCTCCCTTTCCATCTTCCCCTTAGAAAGGGCATCTAGGGGTCAGACCACAGGCTCGGAGCCAGGCTGCCTGGGTTCAACCCTCGCTCTATCACTCATCAGCTGTGCAATTCTGAAAAGTTGCTTGACCTCTCTGTGCCTCGGTGTCCTCATTAGCACAATGGGAATAACAGTGATGTGTGTTTGCCCCTCGAGATCCACGGCCAGCTGCATTCCACTCAGAAGCCGATCCATTCAGATGAGCTCTACAGGCTGTGTGTCTTGGGCTTCCGGTTGGGTTTGACCAGTGGAGGGTCCCGGCAGCAGAAGGCCAAGGAAAGGGAAGAGACAGGGCCAGGCACACCTCGGGCTGGCCGTGTCTCTGGACCAGGAGTTCTCAACCAGGAGATCTCGCCCCCAAGGAACATTTGCAACGCCCAGACATGCGGGTTGTTAGAACAGTGTTACTGGCGCCTAGTGGGTAGAGGCCAGGGATGCTGCTAAGCCTCTCTGCCGCCCCAGGTAGATGCCCACCTCAAGCCAGCATGAGCTGAAGGTCTCTGACCCTTCTCCGGGTTGCTGTGAAGAGTCTAGAGCCGTGCTGAGGACGGCGCCTGGCACACAGCAAACTGCCGGCAGCTGAACGGTGGGCTTCAGGGCACAGGCTTCGGGGTCTGTCCTGGACTCTACTCCTCTTCTGTTGCTGTTTTTCCCCTAGTACTGGGGATGAAACCCAGAGCCTCACGCAGGATAGGCAAGTGCTGTACCACTGAGCTACATCCCCAGCCTTTTTAAAGAGTTTATTCGGAGACAGGGTCTCACTAAACTGCCCAGGATGAGCCAGGTGTTGTGGCGCGAGCCTGTAATCCCGGCACTTAGGAGGCTGAGGCAGGAGGATCGTTGCAAGTTCAAGACCTGCCTGGGCTACAAAGTGAGCTCAAGGCCAGCCTGAACTGCACAGGGAGACTCTGTCTAAAAACAAAACAAAACAAACCACCTTCCCAGGATGGCCACAAACTTATAATCCTTCTGCCTCAGCCTCCCAAATAGCTGCGATCACAGGCATGTACCACCACAGCCAGCTGGATTCTACCCTTAAATCTACCTTTCCTAAGCTGTATGACCTTGGCCAAATGACTTGGGTTCTTCAGGCCTCAGTTTCCTATCTCCTACTCAGACCTGCTATTGGGGGTCCAATCAACCCCCGCTTCAAGGGCTTACTGTGAAGATGAAATTAGATCAGCCCCTAGTGTACAGTAAGTGCTTCTGATAGTAGCAAATGGTGTTAGTACCTTCTTTGAAGAGAGCGACGGATTCATTTCTAAGCCAGGGTCTCCACAGTTCTGCTACCTGATGGTAGATACTGTTGCTCTTCGCTGGGAACTGGCTTTTGGGGTGAAAGTCGTGATTTCCCATAGCAGCATAGACTTTAGTATCTGGGAGAAAGAGAAGACCTGTGTTTAAAATATTCGAGAGCCCTCGGTGGAGTTAGTAGTTCTCAGCTGGCCAGGGGCCATCTGAGCTAATGCAGAAGTGGTAACACGGATGAGGAGAATACGCAGATAAGCGGAAACCACATCTGATAGAATCTGACTGCACTTTGTATTGACCTGGGCAGTGAGTTGCCTGATCCTGGCCCCTAACCCCATTCCCAGCAGAAAGTTCCCTGTCAGAAAGGAGGCCTCAGATGGGAGGGGACGCTAGGGGGTCTACATCACTCACTACCATTATCATCCACTTGATAACTTAGTGTTCCAAGTCCTTGTTCACTCCAGGCCCGTCTTACTGTTGGAGAAGGGGTCTGGTTCACCCCAGGAGGCCTCAGGAGTTCATCTCATTGGTGCAGTCAATGAACATTCTATTAAGCATCTACTGTGTGCCAGTGTGGAGCCTGAACCACACTTCCAGTCCCAAAGAACTTCCAGTTGAGTGGGTTGACAGTACTGAGTAATTAGAGGCCTGAGGGCTGTCACAGAAAGAAAAGCACCACCTGCTGTGGGAGTAACAGAGGCTGGGAGCAGGGAGGGGCTCCAGGAAGTGGCCTGAGAATGACAGCAGGAGACTGGGGAGCCCCATGAACTCTCCTCCTTGTGAACAGGCTTC